GCCTGAGAATTATATAAATACACACACACACACACACACACACATATATATATATTCCTTTTTATATGGATGCGTGATAAGTGTAGAATATTCTATTAAATCTTAATGGATGCGTGATAAGTGTAGAATATTCTATTAAATCTTAAGGCATTTTTTATATTAGAGAAACATAAATAGATACATAATGTGTGTAACTTAAAAGAAAAACTTAAAAATCTTACTGCCAATTTTTGGAGCAGCATAATAGGCTGTAAATATGATGGGTAAGTGCTGCCCCAGACCCCTAATCTATGAGTTTTCTTTTTTTTTTCCTCAATATGACTTTTCCAAGTAAAATTTTTGTCCATGATGATTCCAAATAAAAACAGCTTCAGATAACTCCTCAATGTGTTCTTTATTGAGGACAATATCCCCATCTGTGTAGGAATCGGGGTTTTTTTCGCCCATGAAATTCGATTAAATTTTGTTTTGGTCGAATTATTAATTATCTTATTTTTCTGCATCAATTAAAAGATAACATTTCCAGGACGATCATATTTAAACAATATTTGGTATTTCTTCTTCAGAACAGTTTTAATGGGAATACGAGAAAATAATCATTTTTAAGTCTAATTTATCAATGTTGATTTTACGATATTAATAACTTTAACATATTTTACGGTATGTTCATTACATTAATTAATCTTTTTAACTTTGCATGGAAGTTTTTGGTATGATGGTTAAACAGAACAAATGTTTAAAATGTATTATTATCAATAATAATGAATACAAGCTCTCCCAATATGTTGATGATAATAACATCTTTACTGATGGATCTGAAAAGTCAATGTATGAATTGTTCTCTATATTAAATACATTCTCAAGTCTTTCTGGATTAAATATAAAAATGTTGAAAAAACAAATGTAGTATGGATATGATCCTGCAGACTCAGAGTGGATACAATTTGTAAACGCATTAAGGTTAACTGGATTTTTTAAACAACCTTTTTTTTTAATTCTTGGGAATAGATTTTATGGTATCAGAGGAAAAATGGCAGCTGAGAATTATAAACAGGTTCTGATAAAAATTTAAAAAAAAGAATTGCGTTTATGGGCACAACGGGATATTACAGTTTTAGCTAAGATCACGGTACTTAAGTCTTTGATATATTCAAAACTGGTGTATTTAATTTTAACTCTTCCTAACCCTCCAGCAGACTACGATAAAGAATTAAATCAAATGATTTTTAGCTTTGTCTGGAATGATTTAGATAAAGTTTCTAGAAATAAGCTAATACAAGATTATGATAAATGAGGGCTACGTATGATAAATGTTACATGTCAGATGAATGCCTTAAAAATTACATGGATTAAACGCTACTTCAACTCGGAAAGCGCAGAATGGTGCCTTCTAATTAATTACCTGTTATGTATTACAGATGTAACAGTTGTAGAGGGAGGGTCCATTGAATTAACAAACCCATTAAAGAAATTCAACTTATCAAACACTTTTTGGATAGATGTTTTAACAGCCTGGTCGAATTATGTTAAATTTAATGGCCCCCTGAAAAAATACAATTCGGATGATATATTAAGGCAAACATTATGGTACAATGATAAGATTATTATTTTGGACAAAAAGTTGTGTGTTATAAACTTTGGAAAAGTAAGGGCATATCTATTTTACTTTTCCCATGTATCAATAGAGTTTTGGACCAAAATAGCACAATTGATAAAAGAAAAAGACTAATTGCAACTTAATTATTGATAAAGAAATGTGCATTTTCGGGAAAAGAAGTCTCAAATTGTAAAAACTAAACCTTGTTCTGTTCTTATGCCGTAGTCATCTATATAAAAGAAAAATACAAGGAAAGCCACTGGAGGTCAAAGTGGCGAAAATTGAAATTTCTTATTATTTTCGAACTATAAAATACATAGCCAGTATAAATGATAAGCTTAATTCTTTTTTGGAAACTTGGAAAGATTTTTTGATTTATTTGTTTAATTTGCTGTATTTGCTTTGTATATTTCCTTTTGTTACTGTTTATGTTTTTAGTGGAAGAAAAGAAAAAAAAAATATTCGTACCTGTGAACGCTCTTTTTCCTTTTCTGCTCCTAAACTCAGGAACTCTCTGCCCCCATAATTACGTATCATGTATTGATCAGGAATTATTTAAATCCAGTCCTAAAATATATATATTTATTTAATTTGTTCTTTTAATGTATGTTTTCCATATTCCAGAAGAGTACCCTTGGCAACACCATAGATATTTTGATTGGCGGCTCTTTTGGGAACATCACTCGACTTCACCTCTACTTGGACATCGTATTCCTCCTCCTCGTCGGGTAATTTCTGCCGCCATGTAGGTTACTGTAAGAAGATAAAATACCACGCACAATCCGGAAGGCCAATAAATCAATATGATTTTAGTAATTAGTATAAAATAGGAATTTTTAAATGTATTAACAAGATATGGTGATTCTGAAAAAATAAATCAAAACGAAATCTGTCTGCTTTATTTAAATATCTACGTGACTTTAGCATGGTAGATAAGAAACACAAAACCAACTTACCATGCAGTGACGACAATTAAATTAAAAAAAAACCCTTTTATTTAGACTCTAGTTGGTTTAATTGCTTAGAATAATGGATTTTTTAGGTATCAGCATATTAATAATTATAATTATTGTTTAATGTCAATTAGAAAGTGTAAGAGAGGGCGCTGCACGGATATGGAGTAAGACGTTAAAACACAGGGCTCCTGCAAGTTTCACTACTTAAAAAACTGTTCATCGAATACCTACAATGTGTTCATCGACTACATAGATGTTTAAAGATACTATTACATTAGATTAATCGGATCATTAAACAAAAAAATCGTGAGTAATATGGAGGAAAATTTACCAGATAAAAAAACTTACCACTTAAGGTCTATCCCTAAACAGCTGAAACCGATTCCACTAAACCAAAGGCCAGTAAAGCAAAAAAGGGCGTTGTCTCACTTATTTGCAATCCATCAAAAGTTAAATATCGTACTTCAAAAGTTAGAAGGTATGGATAAAAGAATATACGGAAGCTAAAATGACGGAATTATAAATAATAACAACCGAACAAAACAAAGAGATTGAGGAATTAAAACGATCGATAGAAAATGCTGACCATTTATACATACACAGATTGAACGCTATGGAAAGGAAAAAACAAAATGGACCAGACGTACGAAAGTTAGAAGTAAAAATACAGGATCTTGAAAATAGGTCCCAAAGAAATAATATTGTTATCCATAATGTTCCGGAGGACTAAGAAAAGAAGAACAACATGACGTGTGAGGAACTATTTGAGGATATATTAAAAAGTCATATGAAATTGGACAGGGCTGACGAAATGGATTTCGAACGAGCACATCGAACAGGAAAAATGCAAAACAGAAGGGTTAGGCCTAATACATTGCAAGTTATTGCGATATCAAGATAAAAACTACATCCTTTCAAGTGCAGCTAAGATATTGAAAAGCAATCCACTGGCGGAAACAAACTCTTTATATAGGACGATGTATCAGCGAACACGCAAGCGATACGAAAAGATCTAAGATTAAATCATTTGAAAACAATAAGGGGAAAAGTGGACGTTAAATTCGCATATATTCCGATGTCTCTACCACCATGCATCAGATATAAAAAAAAAGAACGGTAAATTCAAATCATTCTACCAGTTATAGAACATAATGGAGGAGCCTAAATCTGTGCACCTCTTTTTAAGACGAGTACAGTTTTTTTTTCTGTCTGTGATAAATGAGATATGGTATTATTAACATTTCTCTTTAATTGCGACTCATTAGTAATGCAATGTGAACTGCTGAAACTGTTTAATCAATTGTGTTTTTTTTTTCTTTTTTGTGTCTTTTTCATTATGTTTTTTAATCGGTTATATTGTAACAAAGTGCTTTATAAATTATTTAAGACTGACCTGTCCTTGTTTAATAGACATTTTCCAAACAATTATAGCAATATTTAGGCGATCAAAATGGTAATACACTACAATGTTATTGTTTACATTATCTGCGTGTAAATGAGGTTATACATAATTGGCTATTGAAGACACCCCAACCCTGCCTCTATATACAAACTAATTGAACCACTAGATACAGTCTCACATAAACCTAATAACAAACTGAATAGGGACAACAAGCACTATTTAGGCCTAATTAATGATTTATTGCTTTCTACACTGTGTATCTTTTTAAATATTATAATCTGCATGGGAACAATGTGCCTTATGAATTATTTAATTAGAATGACATGCCCTTGTTCAGCAGAGAACTTCCAAACACTTGTAGCAATGACTAAGCGCTCAACCAGCGTAACAATAGACGTACTACAGTGTTATTGCCTACATTTTCTGAATGTGAATGAGATTATACATGATTGGCTATTAAAGACACACCCCATACTATTTCTATAAACGAAATTGAACTGTTGAATACGGTCTCTCATATAACTAATAACAAATTACATAGAAACACCACATATGGGTACTTTTACTTAACATTTTTAAGTATTATACTTACGTTTAATGGTATATATTTTCAGTAAAATAGAATTCAATAAGTAATGTCAACTGATAATAATCTTAGAGTTATAACATTAAATGTACGGGGTATGAGCAAACTAAGGAAACGAGCAATTATATTTAACTGGTGTAGAGAGTCAAAGGCGGACTTAATACTTCTCCAAGAGACTCATAGTATTAGAGAAAAATATTTGGAAACGAGAATGGGGTGGGGAAATGCTATAGTTACAAACAGCTTTTTAGATGAAAATTGAAGACTTATAGTTATGGAAATAATAAAATGATTGTAAGTTTACAATATAAATAATATGCTCCAAATTTAGAAAAAAAATGCAGATAATATTACTCTTGAAAAGCAATCAAGTAATGAGGGAGATATCATGCTTGGGGGAGACTTTAATTGTACATTAAAGGACATAGATGAAAGAGGTGCGATTTCCAAGCCAAAACAGTGATTAGAAAAATTACAGAAATCACAGATGTCTTCGATTTAAAACTCTTTGATATTAAACTTCAAAAAGGAAATATTACAGGACCAGGCCACTGGAAATTTAACAATTCATATTTAGAAGATGCTAACTAGTCTATGTAAATGAATTAAAAATATGCTTAAATAATTGGATTGAAGATACAACTATAGTAGATGATCAGGTTAAATGGGAGTGGATAACATTTAAATGTAGGGAAATAACTATTCAATATTCAAAAATTCAATGTAGAAATAGAAGAAATAGAATAAAAGAATTGAATTTTAAAATAACCAAATTAGGCATTAACGTTTCAGAAGAGTCAAGTGATACTAATATGTCAGGTTTAGATAAGGCTAACCAGGAGCTTGAAGACCTAGGCCAAAACATTATAGACGGTATTATTGTTAGATCAAGAATTAGGTGGTCAGAATAGGGAGTAAAAAGTAATAAGAATTTTTTTTTAAGTTTAGGAAACATAATAGAGAAAGACAGTGTACAAAATTAACTACAGATACAAATGTGGAAATAACTAACCCGCACGAAATATTAAATTTACAGAGAGAATACTACAAAAAAATATACCAATCAAATATTAAAGCAAACAAAACTTTAGCGAAATCTATTTTTATTCCTGTTTTAGAGGACAGCATAAGTCAAACAGTGGTTAAAACACTTAATATAGATTAAGGGAGGGGATAACGACAGTATTACAGAGACAAGCAGTGATTACTTTACTTGAAGAGGCCGGTAAAGATAGATGTAAATTAAAAAACTAGAGACCGTTATCATTACTCAATGTAGACTAGAAAATAGCATCTAAGGTATTAGCAACTAGATTGGGTCTCTTCATTCCTACTCTTATTCACGCAGTTCAAAGTGGTTTCGTGAAGGGCAGATACATTGGAGAGTCATTACGAACTATTGAAGATGTTATGGAATTCACAAAAATTAAAAATATCCCAGGAATTATGCTGCTCTTGGACTATGAAAAGACATTTGACTCTTCGGAGTGGAACTTCTTGTTCCAGGTTTTAAAAAGAGCAAACATCAGTGAAAAATTTATCCAATATGTAACATCATTATATACTAATATTAGTAGTTGTGTAATGATTAACGGTTACTCGCCGACATATTTTTTTCAGTTGAAAAGGGTATACGACAAGGAGATCCCCTCAGCCCGTATCTTTTTATTTTATCTATAGAACTATTGGCATGCGCCGTAAGAGATCGTAGATTTATCAAAGGGATCAAAATTAATGAACGGGAAGACAAAATAACTCAATATGCGGGCGATACCACTTGTATGTTACATGACGAAATATCAGCCAATAATTTAATTGGTTTCATAGAAAAATTTTCACAAATATCAGGCTTTAAGTTAAGCATAAGTAAGTCACAAGCGATCTAGCTAGGCTCAAACAGGTTAAATAATACCAAACCAGTAAATGTGCAATGGCCACAAGAGCCAGTGAAAGCTTTGGGTGTATATTTCTCATACAATGAGAAGCTACGGGAACTATTATAACTTTGAAAGTAAAATAAATCAACTAAAAACAACATTAAATATATGGAAAAACTAGACAGTTAACAGGAAAAAAAAAAGACATTTGCAATATCCCAATTTATTTTTTGGCTTCGGTTATACGTATTCCGCCCCACATGATTAAAACAATTGAAACTATTTTATATGATTTTATATGGAAAGGCGGAAAGGGAATGGTCAAAAAGACCACATTGATTGGAAATATTGAAGAAGGAAGTTTAAATATGGTAGATGTAAAAATTATGTTCAAAGCATTGAAAATAAAATGGATACAACGTTACAATGGAGGTCTTTATTACATGCATTTTTGAATGAGCTAGGCGGTGACATTGTTTTTTTTTTGTAATGTAAGTGCTGATTGTGTTCGTCGTTGGAAAATATTCCTGTGTTTAATAAAGATATGCTCAACGCTTTTTAAAAAATTAGTTACCACTTATACAGCTAATGAAGGGTCACAATATATATGTCATAATTGAAATATACTCGTTGATGGTAAATCATGCTACTATAAACGACTCAATGAAATTGGTATATGTTTAGTTAGTGATCTCTTTTTATGAAAATGGTAAAATCATCCCTTTCAATGCATGGTTAGGAAAGGGTTTATGCACTAGTAACTATATGCATTGGAGAAAGATAATATCCGCAATACCAACACAATGGAAACAAAATATGAAATTGGGATTCTTACGAAAAGGGTATAAAAGGAGGGGTTTTAGTTAAAAGAAGACAAATATTTAGAATGTATGAGTAAAAAAATATATACAGAGTCCTAGTAGAAAGAAAAT